AGAACGAAAGAGTATCAGCTGAAAGATGAAAAGAGAGCTAGATAGAGGAACAAGGAAGGATCAGCAGTAAAAGAGACGGCTATAGAGCTACAGAGGATCGAGGAAATAGAGGATCGGATGAAGGAGAGAGAGAGAGCTGTACAGAAAGAGAAAAAAAGGATCGACCGAAAGGGCGAAAGAGAGAGGTATACATCGATGGAGGAACGAGGGAAGACAGGATCAGCGAGCGGATGAAAAGAGAGGGCAAGAGTCAGAGGGACCGGGGAACGGGTGGAAACGCACGCGTGTGTGCGTAAGTGCACTCGGCCGCGAGCTGCAACGTGAACGAATAATCCGGATGCATCCGCGAGGCGAAGGAGGGCGCGGGGGGTGGCTACGAGGGGAGAGAAGTCAATGAACGACTTCACCGCAATCGCCACGCGGCGAGAGAATTTCACGGTTGCGGGCTTCTCCCTCTGTTCCTCTCTTTCTCTCGCCGTGTGTCAGCGTCCCTCCCTCCGCCGTGGGCTCACGGCGTGCTTTTCCCACCCCCGACAGCCTCTCCTCTCGCTTTCCGATCGAACCGCGCCTCTCGCAATTACATAAACGAGCTTTCCCCAAGACCTTCGCGTTTTTCTGTACCAGCGGCGCGGGTTTCATTTTGGATGGACTGCCTGCCTGTCTGTCTGTCTGTCTGGATGGATGGATGTCTGCATGTGGAACCAGACTCTGTGAGATTAAAAGTGTTCGACCTAACGATGCCGTTCGAATGTGGACCGTCTGCTTGATAACTTCGATTGGCTTGTGTTTCGACTGTTGTGCCTCTCGGAGAATCGGAGAGTAAATTCGTTTACTGGGTTTAGGGATTAGTTCTGTGGGTATTCTTCTGTTTTGTCACGTGGTGACACTTTGCACTCGGGTGTTTCTTACTAGAGATATTTAACGTTTCTTTACGAGGCGAAGAGGATGAGCTTTAAGACTAATTCGAAGAAATAACCGGTACGTTGAGGAACGAAGCTGTTTTATTCCGATGTTTCACGTATCGAGTCAGTGTACGAAGTTTAACTTTAAATGTCGCATTCTGTAATTTTACTGTGTCAAATCAAGTGGTCACTGAGAGTCGTCTCTCGAGTGCAAAGGGTTAACTAGAACTGGAACTACCGAGCATTTGATACGATTAAATGTAATCGCTATGAATATTGTAGTAATAGATTATTTTCAGCTTCTTTAGATATTCATTATAGTACTCCAGTGAAACTATTTTCAAAACCATTTCGAATATTCAATGCTTCGAAGATAATAATTGCCAAACAAAAAACTCGAAACCACTCATTCTGACTAGCTCAGTAATTCTCGTATCAAAGATGCCAAGCTTCAAAATATAAGAGAATCGAATAATTCAGATTCAAAATTACGTTACTCTTATTCATCTTTCCATTTATTTTCAACAATCTAATTTTCGTAATTCTTCACCCAGCAAGCTCTCGCGAATAATTCACCCACAGCATCCATCCTGCGCGAGACACGGGGCGTGGAAAGCTCGGTTAATTAGCCCGATAACGCCGATAACGCGCAAGCAAATAAAGCCAGCATATAAACCAGGTTTTACGAGTTCCGAGAAGACGTGGACTGTCGTTGCGCGAAATGCTGGCCACGGTTGATCCACGTCTGCGAGCTGTTTCTGGATCAAACGCGTCGCGCGGGAAACATTTAGGATCCAAACGGGCTGCCTCCTCCGTCTCTGTCTTCTCCCTTCCCATTCAGCGAAAAAACTCCGGCGAATTGACGACGCGCCCGCGAGCCTCGCCCACAGACAAGTCATTCCACGAGATCAAAAGCCGGGGACTGGCACGGCAGACGCTCGCGGAACTTATTCATTGAGCAGAATTCGGCTTCCTCGAGAAACTATCCAAGAATTCTGGTACCGGTTTCAAAGCGTCTTGCGGCGCGAGCTTCTCGGGACAGGCTCATGAAAATTCATAATCTAGAACGTTGTCTTGGAAAAATGATTATTAACCACCGAGTAC